AAAACCCAAAAAATGTAACTCTGCACACACACACAAAAAATTCATTCTCCTGTGCTAATCTTATAATTTCTATTTCTGAAGCTATTATAAGAGCCACCCCACTCCCACTAGTGTTGGGGATATTGGACCCCCTAATTTCTCCAGTACTTCTCAGCCACTGCACAAAATGAAGGCTTCTTAATTGGCCAAAGAGAATTTCATCCCCACCCCCAGGTGGCACATGTCGCCATCCCCTGGTGGTCAGTGCACATCATAGCAAGCAGTCAAACTCCTGGTCGAACTCCTGGTAGATGGGGAAATTTGCATATTAGGCCTTTATTATATAGGATGGTGAACATGTCTATTATCTTTGTTTTTCTATCTTTATAATAACTGTGAGAGAGGTAATGACAAATTCATTGCCAACCAAAGCCATATGACTGGACTGCTCTGAATTGAATAGTCAAACTCCAAATTCAAAGAAATCACTACTGGCCCACACCCTCTTAGATCATCTGCATTTTGGTTGTGTTTTTCTGCTTGTATTGTTATGACAGACTCCAATGAGCAATTCATATTTCTTTCAAAGTTAAGTTTATGAACTGATTGTTTGCATGTTCGGAGATATTTTCTTTACTATGAGCTCTCCCCCTCAGCGTAGGCAGGCAAAAGAATCAATTTCAATAGCTCATTTACTACCAGTTTATCCTTCATCAAAATAAATTTTCTCTTTAATTCCCCCCAAAAAACACAAACAAACAAAAAAAAACTGTTCCTGTTAGTCTTCCTAAGTTGGGCTGCCTTAGTTTTGTGAATGTACAACTGGAGGAATAAAATCAAGCTTATGACAGAGAAGAGGATTATGCTATTTTTGTATGTAATACTATGCTCCTTATTCTTGCAATGCTGCCTCTCACAAACAGAAAAGGTCAAGGCCTAACCTGCCCCTTGATAAGGATCTTAAGATTAAGAGTCAATATCTTTTTACATGGTGAGGATGTGAAGAAAAATGTAACTTACAACTGGAGGAATAAAATCAAGCTTATGACAGAGAAGAGGATTATGCTATTTTTGTATGTAATACTATGCTCCTTATTCTTGCAATGCTGCCTCTCACAAACAGAAAAGGTCAAGGCCTAACCTGCCCCTTGATAAGGATCTTAAGATTAAGAGTCAATATCTTTTTACATGGTGAGGATGTGAAGAAAAATGTAACTCTCATGCACTGTTGGTGGGATTGTAAATTGGTGCAGCTACTGTGGAAAACAGTATTGGCGGTTTCTCCAGAAATTAAAAATAGAACTACCATATGAATCAGAAATCCCATTTCTGGGTATATATCTGAAGAAAACCAAAACATTAGTTCAAAAGATATATGCACCCCTATGTTCATTGCAGCATTATTTACAATAGCCAATATGGAAGCATATTTACAATAGCCAAGATATGGAAGCAGCCTAAGAGTCCACAGATAGATGAATGTATGATGAATTATACTTAATCATAAAAAAGAATGAAATCTTCTTATTTTCAACAACCTGGATGAAGAGGGTATTATGCTAAGTGAAATAAGTCAGAAAAAGAAAGGCAAATGGTTGTCAGATGGGAGGGGTTTGGGGAAGGGAGAGAAGGTAAAGGAATTAAGAAGTACAAATTGGCAGTCACAGAAGTGGTCACAGGGATGTAAAGCAGTCAATAATATTGTAATAACTATATATGATGTCCGATGGGTACTAGACTTCTCAGGGTAATCACTCCATAAGTTACATAAATATTTAATCACTGGTTGTACACCTGAAACTAATATAATATTACATGCCAACTGTAATTGAGAATTTTTTTAAAAAAGTTTTTAAAGAGTCGACATCTTTTGAACTCATCCCTGTTAAGAGCAAATCCTTTGCCTCTCAAATAATAATTTTATGCCCCCAGCTCTCTTTGTATGGGGTTCACTCCAGGCAAGCAGGAAGTCACTTTCAGACTGAGCACAGCTTTCCCCATGTCACTCCCCTGACTCATCCCAAGTTCTGCTGGGAATAGTGATGGGGCGCCGGATCTGCATGAATACATTCAGTTACTGGACATCCAAACAATATGTTTTGAATAAACACATACTCCTTAAGAAGGCCTTTGCTGAGTACTCCAGAAACACAAAGATGGAGGAGAAAGAGCATGTGTACTCTGGGGAAAGTGCTGTCAACAAAAACCAGAGGACAATACTTCACATCCTTGAAAAAATTATTAAAACAAAGTTTTAAAAGCCATAAAAATATTTAAATAATTGGCTGAATAAATTATTTTCCCTTTTATTTATTTCAAAGAAAAATTGAGCATTAGGGTGGGGAAAAAAACTATGTTTGTGAAAGTGGTCATTGAAAGAATGAATCATCAACAATAAAATAGATATAAACACTTCATATCAGGAGATAGTTTCAGTATTTTATGATGAATCTAGTCAGTGTAATATGACTCATCCTTTAAAATGAAGCCATTAAAATAGTTAATACTTGAATCTATATTTGAAGGTTTTCTGTAAGTTTGAAATTATATCAAAACAAAAAGTTATAATATACTTTTTATATAGCTACTAGAGACATGGTGCACAAAAATTTGTGCACTCGGGGGGATTCCTCAGCCCAGCCTGTGCCCTCTCGCAATCTGGGACCCCTTGGGGGATGACCACCTGCTGGCTTAGGCCTGCTCCCTGGGGGATTGGGCCTAAGCTGGCAATCAGGCATCCCTCTGGCAGCCCGGCAGCCCTCATGGGATGTCCACTTGCCAGCAGAGAGCAGACCTAAGCTGCAGTCAGACATCCTTAGCGCTGCTGAGGAGGTGGGAGAGGCTCCCACCACCACCGCCATACTGGCAGCCATCAGCCTGGCTTGTGGCTGAGCAGAGCTCCCGCTGTGGGAGCGCACTGACCACCAGGGGGCAGCTTCTGCATTGAGCACCTGCCCACTGGT